TGCTTTATATTACTGTTTGGTCACTCCAGTATACAGCTCTAATATGGTTAAATGTCCTTTCAGTTAAACTATGAAGTATGAGGTTTTTTTTAAACAAGTGGAGTGATCTGACTCTGGGCTGTATGTTTGTGAATTTTACTTATATCATCTCATTGTTCTTTAAAAGTAATAATGAATCACATGATGGCACTGATTCCAACAGTAGGAGTCCTCTGAATATTTCTTTCATTGAACAGATTGTTGATGTAAAACATAAATCATTTGGACAGTCCAGTTTTGTCCTTTTAAATGTCTTAACACTAAACCTGACACCAAAAAACAAAGTTTACCTAAAGAGAAACAACACAGTATAACAAATATTAGAGGTTAAATTCAAGTCTTGTTTATCTTCTTCTTCCGTTTTGATACCATGTACAGGCATTCTCATAATTGTTTCATGAAAAGCATGCCAACTTAAAATTCATCTCATATTCCATTAGTCACACTAACAATGACACCAGAGTCAAGTTTCAAAGTAAGGCTCCACTGCATGTTTCCCTGATTTAGCAAATGTCTGATGTACCATATAAACTATCTGGCTGGAGTGCAAATGGTTTGTTGGAGGAGATAGCCACTTTTTATTGCTATAGCTTTGCTGGAAAATGTATTTCTGAAACAAAGATCTCATATTTATGCAAAATTTGCAATAACGTTGGCTGTGCTGAGGTTTCACTCTCTTCTCTTCATTCTGATTACACATAAAATCTGATTTGTTAGGCTGCACTGTCCATTTGAAAACATAATATAACTTGCAATTGATGGAGAAGCCAGGAAAAACACCAAGTGTCCAGAATCCTTTATATTGTGAGCTTCTGATGTTGAGAATTTCACATCTTCACCAACATTTATTTTACAAGATGATCAGTAGACTTTTTATTCACTCATTTGTATTTCTGCAGGTACACCATAAATGTGTTTCGTTACCCCACATTTCTATTAACAAGCTGAGTCTGCTGATATCCTGAGTTTAACTATGTTTCTGAAAAGTCAATGTACTTCACCTGGTCAATAAACTGACAACATAAAATCTTGACTAAAACTTCCCATGACAAATCACACTTGTCGAAGGTGCCAGAAGGTCTCATATGGTGAATAAGACCTCACACCACAACAGTAACTTCTGTGGAGAGGTTTTCAAATAACAGCATGTTCCCCTGTTGGCTTTACATAAAACAATTAAAATTTAATTGGACATTTACGTATAGTTTAGCAGAATTAAAATATTAAAGTGCTGACCTTGTATACACTGGTGCTTATTTTCCTTAGAACTTCAGCTGGGTGTTAAAGTGAAGTCCTTTTAAAATACCAACCAAAACATGTTCCTTTGTTGAGGAGTCCTGTATTGGCCGCTGATGGTATGCTGAGCCTTGCAGTGAATGCTGTTTGGGGAAACAGTACACACTTTAACAGAGAACCTGTGTTATTTCACTTTATTTGTGCAGATCAAAATCCAAAATAGCAGTACAGTTGAAATCCTCTCTCGTCCAGCTAAGCCACACCGAGCTGTCCTCAACGCAGCTCAAATTTTCAAGACGAAAAACATTTTCCCCAAAGCTGGCGGTGTCTGAAAAACAGTCAACTATACATGCAACTTAAAATACTATCAAGAGCATTTACAGTAAGTTTTGTGTACAGATAGAGAAAAAACAATCACTGCAGGACCTATAAATAACAAAAGTTCACTTCCACTGTTACAAAGCTCTATAGTACAGAAGTAATAATGTTTTCCCTATAAAAACAGTTAAATGTGAGCATGTGCTGTCTGCATTAGTTTCTGCTTGAGTAGTCCTTAAAGTCTGTGACTTACCTGTTGCCTCTGAAGGTCTCCAGTAACCAGAAGTCATCTCAGATCCAAGGTAAACTAGTCTATGAGATCTCACCTGGTTAAGTATGGCTGGTGTGTGTTACGCCTTTTTTCACACATGATGTAAAGTGAACAATTTTTAACTCTGGCACTGAAGGGGTCTAGCTAAAAGGTACGCTGATGAATGATAGAAGCTGTAGCATTTCAGACAAGACCAGAGACCAGCGTGACGCAGTTTGTTGCACGTGCCTTCATCACAAACGGAGAGCCATTTAATATATATTTGAGAGATCCTAGCAGAGTATTTGACTCAGCTCAAGCGGTTACACTGATGTTTGAGCGCATGTCTGTGAGCACAGCTGTGACCATTGCTACTGCACAAATCCGTATAAATTTTTTAAAAAAGTCTGACAATGGACAGGTACATGTGAACGGTTTTAGGTTAACTGCGCTACTGACAGTTACTTCCTACATGTGTTTAATTCACAGCAACGCCATATAGTTTGGTTTTTGATGGAAACTCTGAACATGATGGAACCAACGTGCAGATTAGATTTAATACCAAACATAACTCAGGTCAGGTAAATCTACAGTTAACAAGTATCGCCCAGAAACTGCCGTTGAAAATAATTCAGCTTTCTAAAGGTCACACACATCATAACACTAATTATTCAAACGTAAAGGCAAAAGAAAGAAGAAAAACCCCGCCTAACTCAGACGTCAAGCATTAAAAATATTACAGCACAATAATAACCTAAAACAATCAGGGGAAAAAAATGCGAGTAAAAACTGTCCCAAAATAATAAAAACCAAAACAGACGTGGACGTCGGTAATTCGGTTCCTCCTGTGAGCATCTCAGGGGAACGTAACGCGCTCAGCCGCAGACAGGAAGAGGATAGTGTCACGTGCATCAGGAGGTGGCGAGCGGCGACGCAGTCGGACGACGATCCTGGAAAAAGAGCAAATGACACAAATGAACTGTCTGCAACTATTCATACAAAGCACGCAGTTCCATCGCTACTGTCTACAGTCTTTTTTTCGAGTGCTGTATCTTGAGACCCGTTCTCCAGTTACGGACAGTCACTGGACAGTCTGTCTTTGTCGCACTGTCATACATTTAAAACTTACATCAGCTGAGATCCATATTAATGCACAGATGTGCATTACAAACGAATTCACTACTTGCTGGATAACACTTTGTACGCATGCTTTCTCAAACCTCGTTTTCCCCACAGGATCTACAATGTGTACGACAGGTCAGTAGCTGCCTCTGCCTTTACAGGGACGAAGGGCAATTTTATCAAAAATATGAACACCAGTCTACCTGAGACCTATCCTCACCTTCAAATGCAGAGGCCTTGCTTAATAAGCGTAGCGTGCAGGCGGTGGCGGAGGCAGCCGTTCTGCGTAGGGGTCCCTGGCACGAGGAACTCCGTATGCCGGGACCCGGGATACAGGGGAGAGTCGAGATCGCGTGCTCTCCTGAGGGGGCTGCGATCTCGGGCGTAGTACGAAGACGGAGGAGGTGGGAGGGGCCGACGCTCATACGGGTCAAGCGACGAGGTCATAAGACGGTCACGGACAACGGCTGAGGGGGGCGGGGGAGGTGGAGGGGCGCCAGGACGTTGGTCTTCGTAGGAAGCGATGCCATACGGACGGGCTCTGTACTTCTCATAGTAATCTACCACACTGTATCTGTCCCTCTCACCCTCGTAGGGACGGTCAGGATAAACAGCTCGTCTAGGGGGTGGGGGTGGCAAAGGAGGGGCTGGGTAACCTGGAGGTATATGGCCGAGGCGGCCCCTCAGGTAGCTAGGCGGTGGCGGCTCATGCCTCTCTCCAGGATAGCGTGGGGGCCAGTAGCCCCCTCTGTCTGGAGGAGGAGGGGGGTAGTCATCCCGTTCGTCATGTCTGGGACGGCTCTTGGAAATCTGGACATGGATGCGTTTGCCTAAACACAAAAAAATAATATATATATATATAATTTGTTTAAAAATAAGCACCCACATACACACCACAAGTACCTTTTTACACGATAACCTATTTGTACCTTGAAATTCTGTGTTGTCCAGTCCCTTGATGGCATCCATGGCCTCATCATAGTTTGACATATGTACAAAAGCAAAATTCTTGACAACAGCACACTCAGTGACAGTGCCGTACTCTTCAAAGAGAGCACGGAGCTCATCATCAGATCCCTTCTCTACATTGGCTACATGCAGCTTGACAGAGCCCTGGTTCTTCCCGTGACTGGCCTCTACATTGATCGGTGTGCCATGAAGCTTGTAGAGGTGCAGGCTCTTAATAGCTTTGGTGGCAGCCTTGCGGTCATCCATGTGGACGAAGGCATAGTTCTTGATGATGGCACATTCTGTGACTGTGCCGTACTGGGTAAAGAGTGCCTTGATTTCATCTTGGTCTGCCTCCCGGGGGAGATTTCCCACAAAAATTTTCACCATTGTTAAAGATCTGGCAAAGTAGAGACAAAGCAAGAGTGGAAAGAACAAAATATTTAATTAAAATGAATGGCTGCATATTTCTATAGTATTGAATGACGTATGCCTGAGTCTTTTGCTAACACTACATTGACAGCTGCGAATGTAACAGGCCCATTCACTGCAAAATGGCTGACACAATTTTAACTAAGACAGCACGATTTTATTACTATCGGTATTTTAATACCAAAACAGTTCTATCCGCCTTTTGCTACTATGACGCTACAGTGTGCATAATTAGTTAAGTCTAAGCACAATTTCGGCTTAGTTTTGCAAATATGCTAACGCTAGCTGTTAGCCACGGTAAGCGTGCTAGGCCAGCCGCTCTACTACACAAAGCGTCACGGTCCATATTAACACACAAGGCAGCGAACAACTGCACAGACATTCAGTGGTTGCAGATATTTCGGAAAATAAAGTGCAGTGAATTGTAAATAACAATTTCATTTCACCTTTTATCCGGGTAGCCTCTACAAAGAAATCAATCATACGAACGCTTTCCTTTGCTCAACTTCCGTCTTCTTCCCGATCTGTTTACTTCTTCTTCTTTTGCGCCATTACTGGACATCATCCAATCGACCACACTGCCACCCAGTGTCCAGGAGGGTACGATAAACTCACCATGGGTTTATGGATAAATAAAAGCAAGCTATCATATCCACCTTGTTTTGTTTTCGCATATGGTGACTGTGTGAGTATTTATCATATATGGTAGACCTATGGCATAATTCTATATGACTGAGAAAGTTACAAGTTACGTCAAAGTTACGTATGACCGAAATCCCCTAATCCCTGTCCACAACTGGTAATAACTCACCCCCACTAACCCATAATGTCTCTTTCTACTGCTTGGTTCGTAAAATTTGTACGATATTGTCGGGAAGAGAACCAAATGAACACAAGTTACGGTCTGGGTTAATATGTAACAGTTTAACTTAACGATTTCCACTACATGGTTGTAAAAACCGTCCAGTCAACAAAACGCATAAACCAAGCATGTTGCACTGCCTTTCTAGGTCAAGTTGCATCATGAGGGAATTTTCGGGGCTGTAATGCTACGTTCAGGTACTTACAGTAAAATTATATGATTGTGAGATGTGAAGTTGTGACTGTACGGGAGCTTCCAATATAATAAAACTTGCTGATGAAAGAGCCGATCCAAATATATTTAAAAATCATAGCTATCTCTGCTGGTTGATTGAATTTGCATCTGGGTGTTAGAAAATGAAAGTAGCAAAGTACCAAGCTAAACTGACAAGTAATAGAACAATACAAACATACTTATTATTTCACAATCTTTCTTTTTCCTCAGCTTATGTTAACAAAATTAAATTAAAAACATTTTCCTTCGTGTTCACCACAACTTTACCTCAGCCTCAAATTTAAATGATCGTTTTTCCCAATTTGCACTTGAAATCAGCATTGTATTTTTTGGGTCTTGTGACAGTGACGAAACTCGGAGACGGGAGAAGAAGACACATTGCAAAGACCGGCCAGCAGGAGTTCTTTTGTTTTCACCTGTAACATTAGCACAGTTACTTTGTTGATCCAGCTGCGCCTGGAGAAAAAGCAGTCTACATATCTGTATCTTCAGAGTTAAAACTTCAACTTACAGGTAAAACAAACATATAAAAGCAACTTTGGTTTGATTTGTAACGGTAAACCACACGCTTTCGCTGTATTTCTAACGTGGCTTGTTTTGCTTTCTTTACCAAAAGTCGACCGATTGGCTTCATCACGAGCTGCCTTCATGATGAACGCGTCCCAGACAATGGAGACAGAAGAGGATCTCCTGACGTGTCTCCACATTAAGCTTTACCACCCGCAGCAGAGTAGCAAGGGCATGTACTCGCTGCTTCCTTTGGGGAAGCGGGTCAGACAGCCAGCAGATGAATCTCTCAGACTGGGTCGTGACGCCCAGGCCTGCGCATACTCCCTGTTCGATCCCCGGGTTTCCCGCAAGCAACTGGCCCTCCACCCTTACCGAACACCCCAGAACCCGGACTTGCTGTTCACCATCCAGAACCTGAGTCAGAGAGGACGAGTGTCAGTGAACAGCTCAACACTGGGCTATCTGGAGAGGATGGACCTCCCAGACAAGGCCCTGATCCGATTCGGAGAGTATGAAATGCTGCTCGTCCGTGAGACCGGAGAGGCCCAGGGGAGCTTCGAGGTGGAGTTTGAGGTGCTGGCAGCGCCTCCGTCCAGGGAGACAGGCATGTGTGAATGCATGACACCAGTCATGGATACAGGCTCCTGTGTGATGAATGGTTTCCTAGGGGAAGTCAGAAGACTGGGTCCCCTGGAGACTGATGAGACTCTCATGTATCGATCATGATAAATCATAACCACATGCTGTGACTTATTTATTCCTCCTTTTTGACTTTCACCTTAAGGCAATTCAAACTGTGTAGCTGTTACTTTAAGGTACATGGAGGCTAGTGTAATGTACCTGTTTGTAATGTGATCTTAGAAGACTGGGTCCCCCTGGAGACTGATGACACTCTCATGTATTGTTATTTTCATTTATAACTCCATATCTGCATACTGTATTAAAAAGCTGTGATCTTAGTAACACATTTTTACCAAGCTTACTAACTTAAGTGAGTGCTCTAAAAATTTAAAGCTGTCTCTACATTTCAACTTGAAAACAATAAATCGTTTTTTTTCTTATCAATCCATTTGTGAATTTTGTTTAAAAGTGTATATCAGCCGTGGCTTTGAACAAATGGACACATCTCACAGTCGCTGGTACTTTATGGCAAGCTAAACAAAAGACAGACTGCTGGGATCAAGTTTTTCCAGATTCATACCTCTGCTATATGTGAGCTCAACTTACAGTGATGGCCTCAAATGCCTGGAAGCCAGTGCACTTTCTCAGTTTCAGTTTCTGTTTTAGCATCAAAACGTGAAACCAAGGTAGTTACTGTCTCAAAATTGTACTCCAGTAGCTACTTGAGCAAATACTTTCCACCACTAGACTGACTGCGCACAGATGTTTATCAGGTCCTTCTACCTGGCCCCTGGCCCGCACTTGTAAAGTATTCTGTTTGAGTCGGGTCCAGAAACTGTTTCTATTTTTTAAACGTTTTAGAACAAAGTTCAGTCAAGTTAGAGAATCCTAATCTTACTAAACTTGATAAGATCATTATCTATGACTAGAAAGATTGTAGTGTTACTTTTTACAACAAGCGTCAGACAAGAACAGCCATAAAACATTGGAATGTGATGATCCTCTTTCAGGCGGCAGCTGGAGGAGCCCAGCATTACCTCAGCCACTGCAGAACAAGCACATTAGCACATTTCATCAGGAAATCAAACAGGCCTTATCAAGTCTATTGGTCAAGTGACATTGACCAATAGTGATTAAAAACAGCTTGTTGCCGTCATGTAACATTACAGCTGAATTGAGTCAAAAGTGGATTTTGTAATCTGCCCCTCAAACAGAACTACAACAAAGCTTGAGTCAAAAAGAGAACTGTGTTCATCAGCTTAACAACTAGAGGTAAAGGTTACACATCGCTGGTAACAGATGAAGCAGAAGCACAGGTCCAAACAGCTGCACTACACCTTTCTACAATCACAATAAACCATCTGGAATCAACAGACAAACACTTGGAAACAAACAACCAGTGACAGTGTAACCCTGTTCATTTTACACTGTGTTAAAAACTACAGCAAAAGTGTTTGAATAATTGTTTATTTACTTAGGTTTATCATGTTTAAACATGTCATACTGAAAAGAAATAAAGTGTAAATCCATACAAAAAAAAAATCAAAGTCAGTGAGTAAAATACAATTTAGTAACAAACTATGCCTATAAATATACAGTAATATACAGTGCATGAAACGGCTGTAGGCTCGTACATGTTAGACACAAAAGTTTAACAGAAACATTGTAAAGCAGGTTGTTATAAAAGGCCAAAAACAGGCTTTGAGCAAAAATTCCAGGCCATACAGGCTGCAAAAATCTAGCCACAGCCCAAGGACATTTCAACACATGGACTGGAGGCACCGAGATTCAAACCTTCAACCTTCTGGTTGGGAGACTATTGCTCTACCCACTGCACCACTGTCGCCTCCCAAATACATACAATAACACTATATGGTTTTAGCCATATCTCAGTTTGATCAATTTCATGGTGAGAAACAGTCCATTTTTAAGTTTGAGTTGTCTTGAATCCATAAGAACAACCCAAAAATTTAACCTGTAAACACAATGCAAGTCCAAACCCCTATATTTTGGAATCATCAGCAGCAGGGGCACAGATATGCAATCATGCAGAGGGTGGTTTCACAAAAGGAGAATTTAAAAAAATCCAGGGTAACATAAAAGACTGAGGCTTGGTCTAGTCTACTTTAGGCCCATTAAGCATATGACCCACTCATGGAACAAGCGTGGCAGGCAGTAGCAGCTTGACTGAATGCATTAATTTGCCTAAAAATATACACTTACTAACCACTGTTCTAACAATCTCAACAATAACATTTGCCAACCTTCTAACAACAAAATTAATAGCAGTCTTGATAAACGCAATCAGTAACAATGACAATCACATTTTACAGACTGTTAAAAATACATTTTTATCCAGTTGGAGTGACTGCTGACAGAACCGATAAGGCACCAGCATTAATCAGGCCAGGTTGTTTACCTGGTCTGGAGCCGGCTAGCTGCACAGAATAAATCTCCACGGTAATTTATGTACCACTGCTTTTGTGAAAGAGTCATAGATAAATTCGTCCAGGACAACTGGAAGATCCCGGCTTAACCTGCTGTGTAGGTTCTGTGAAACAGGTTTTCCGAGCACTGGGACATCCACTCCAGCTCCCCAACTGGACCAAATCCACTTCCTGTAAAAACAGATGCTTCAATCAAGGTCACAAAATAGCCAAGTCTTATGACCTCCACAGTGAATTGGAATTCCATTACCTTTAGCTTCAAAAACCAAAGTCCTGTGAATTCACTTCACCCACATCAGCCGCAGCTCTGTAGAGTCAAGCCTGTGAACTGAGAGATAGGGTCAGTGATCACACTCATCACCAATGAAATCCAACAACTTCACCATATTTATCCACTGCCTCACACCTGGGTTGCTTTACACAGTTTTAATAATACCCAATCAAAAATAAGCATAGTACAACTTTTCAATTTCAGCTCGGTTTGTCTAAAGAAATGGCACCTTTTCAAACACCAAATTTCATGACACTGTTTAGTACATAAAGTATGTTATACAAATGGCTTTTAAAAATGAATTAGGATAACGTGTTAATAAAAAAAAAAAAAAAAAAAAGACCAGAATGTTTTCTCCAAACTGTAGTATGAATCCAAAAACACCAGAATGAGACAATTTACAGTGACAGTAACAGATGTTGAGCAGTAAAGCTGAAACAATATCTACCTCTTTTCGTCAGGATGCTGGACATCTTCAGAGGATGACTTACCATGAACTGGCATCTCCTGCATAGAGTCTAATAACCTACAAAGAGCACAGATACTAAGGATACCAAAAGCTGCATGTGATTTGAGGTACACATATAGAGGTTTATAAATGTGGACAGTTGGGACAGAAATGGAAAGTGTGGATTCAGTGACAAAGAAATGAAGAATGTCAAAACTTTCAAACAACTCAAAAGATGATAGAAACAAGACCCATTGCAAAGCTCAGTTAATCATAGCTCTACTTCTATGAAAACCACTAACTGTCAACACAAGGAGGTAAAGGTAGATGCTATTGGGGTGGGGGTAGGTCCGTGCGTGCCAGGGACAACACACAGCAAATCGACGAACGCAACTTAAAACCTTCAGTGCAGACACAAGAGCACAGGAAACTGAAGTTAGGTTGTGTTACTCCTGGGTTTGTGGAGCTGTATAAATTTTGAACATCTTAGAGGGCAAGTCAGAGTCACTGCCAGAGAGCAGATGCTCCAAATTTTTATTTTTTTCCCCATTCACTTAGCATTGCAACACTGCTCAGGTGAACACAGATCAACATAAAATTTCAATGGAACAAATCGGGTGTTGGTTTTTAAACTGAGAACTTGAAAGTTGCACAATTTTTCAGCATTTTCAGTGAAAATAAACAGGGCCGAAAATAAACATCGCCTACCATGTGTCAAGCTGATAACTCACAAGGGTGTGTAGAGAAATACATAAAGCACGCCTGCGTCTTATTACACATATCTAGCCTGGCGTATCGTGGCTCTCGGCCAGGTCCGTAGGCTAAAAGGACTACCCAGCGTTGAATAATTTGACAGTTAAAACGTCCTTTTGGTTTCATTTGTTTATTAAAAACCTTTCAAGTGAAAAGCAACTTGTGAAGTAAATAAAAGCATACATAACTGTGCTATGGATTCTGTTTTTGCAGGAAAAGAGAACACAGACTGTATAAAGAACAAAAGCACACTGGAAATCCTGATTTGTCATGCTAAAATATGAACGCACATCTTAGAGTTATTACAAAGTATTATATGTTAAGCACACCTAAAATGATTTTTTTTTTGTATTGATTTTGTGGAGCATTTTGTGATCAACCACCTACCTTAGCCTGAACACAATCATTGTTTTTAAATAAACTGCATGGAATTTCATTTAAATGGCTTCCCAGAGGCCATATCCATTTAGAAAGAGTGAAAAGCAGAGCGTATACTTTTTGGCCGTCAACAATGCTACATCACACTGGAACAGACTAAGCACCTAATCCAGCATCCTATTCTGCAAAACATTTTAATGATTTGAACAGCAAAACAAGCAGAGCAACAGAAAATTCATATACAGCTCAGAAGAACACGTGAACTGTAGACAGAGAATTGTATGTTTTTAAGTACGGGGCTGTCCGCAATACAGTATCTTCCAGTAAGTCTCAGGCGAACGCAACGCAATCCGCCATAGACAAGGGGGATGTATAGCGCCACGTGCATCAGCAGACGACGACGATCTTGTCATATTCTAAACCTGGAAAGAGAACACACCACACATGTCAAGGAGCGCGTTTTTCTCTTGATTTCGCGCAAGGCTGATCTTTGATATTAAAGCAGCAATATTTTAGGCTTCTACCAGCAGTGTTTAATGGTTGTGTATTGAGCTGTTGGCTGAGGTAGATCTGCAAGGAATTAAAATCTCTGGCTGATGGATTCAGCTCTGATTAACTTTGGTACACATTTACTTTTAACTTTTTTTTTTACATATTGTACATCAGTGTGATTTAAGATGTCATGAAACATCTACTCTGTTCTCACCTTGTATTACACTCTCAGGTGCCTAATAGCTTGCATAGCGAGGTGGTGGTGGCGGCGGTGGCGGCCCTCTCTCGGAAAAGGAAGCCCTGGAGAGGGAAGCAGCGTATACCGGAGCTCTGGAAACTGGAGAGAGTCGGGACCGTTCATAGGAGTATTCCTTTGCCGCC